ATATCAACTGTCTTTACATGCTTGAAAGAATAAATAAATAAAAAATAAATCAAATATTTCTGAGAAAATAACGAGTGATGTCAGAGTTATCTCATCTTGGACTTTTTAAAAAAAAGCACTTTGAACAGAAAATCTGCCTCACAAACTGTAGACACAGACTTTAAAAGACATGTTTTATATCTGACAAAAACCCTGTGTTGAATTGCATTATGGGAACTTTAGCATGTGGTTTTGTTGGAGCTTGACACGCATTTAGTTTTGTCTGCCACAAGTTCCACATTGGTTTAAAAGTGCGTAATCAAATCACTGTTACTCTTCTAATAGTATTTTTACTTTTGTTTTCTTTGCAGACAGGACTGAGTGATGTCACAAGCTAACACATTGATATTTACCCAGGAGGCTTTGCATATGAGGTGAGTGCTCTTTTTAATTATGATATTAATGGGGTATTTTTAGCCATTTTGATATTCTTTATTTTTATGTAGTACAAACAGATGCATATAAACCAGAACTACAAACCCACAGAAATCTCTTAATATTCTGGTTTTAGTTTTATTTTATCACATTTTATTTCTCAGGCTTAAGATTCAGTGAGCATGTTAAAGCTGCTGTTCTACATGCCATGACCCCTCATGAAAACACCTGAGTTTTGGAAAAAGGTCATCTCTAAGTCTGACGAAGAAAAAACATAATTGAAATGGTTTGAAATATGCCATTCACTTCTGTAGAAATAAGTGCTCTCACCATATTTTTTGGTAAAATATAAAATGCAGATTCACATTCACGTGGTAACTCTCAATCTAACATTCAGAATGCAGTGTTTTACTGCACAGCCCCTTGGGGCTCATCAGCCTGTGCAATTGTGAAGTGCAGTGCTTAAAATTAGAGTGATAGCGTTAACAGTGCTCCTAATCAGAAGAAGTCTGGGGTTAGGAGAACTTGAAGCAGAATGAGACCACCAGCTGATCAAAAGCTATGAAACCCTGCTAGAGTTTATACTGCAGAGTGTTAAAACGGGTTTTCTGCAACTGCAACAAGCACAACAAGCAGCCGGGGCAGCCTGACACGACAATGTGGAAAGTGAAAGCTGAGAAAGAAATGTGTGTAAGGTGAGAAAGAGAGGTGTCTGTGTTTAAGTGAGCAAGGCAACAAGCCTGACAAATTTTGTGTTCTACTGGGAGCTGTTGGTGTGAACATACTCATATGCCTTCTGTGTGTGTGTGTGTGTGTGTGTCTGTGCACATGTGGCCTGTGAAACACAGCTGCTTCCACCAGCATATAGAGCTTTTGTCATTTCCCTTTCTGTGTGTGTGTCTCTCTCACTTTCGCTTGTGTTTTCTGCCACATGACTTGGAGCGAGACTTATTACCCAAACAGGGACGAGGCTTGTAATGTGAGTGCTGAAAAACAGTATCAGCCTCTTTCTGCGTCACTCACTGGCTTTTCTGTCTGACATGTGAAAAAAAATTTGAAAATGTACTTTG